GCGACAGGCCAGAAGGTCATCCAACTGTCTGTCTTCTGGCCAGTGGGAACCGCTAGGGATTTGTAATGTGTGAATTTCTGCAGTTAGTTTGTGCAGTCTCTCTTTGTCTTTACCTTAAAAACAGGTTTTCTATCCTTTCTTCTTTTTTCCTTTTACTTTCTTTTGCTATTTTAATTTTTGAGACAGGGTCTTACTATGCAGCCCAGTCTGGCCTGAAGCTCACTATGTGGCCCAGGTTGACTTTGAACTCACAATCCTCCCACCTTTATCTCCTGAATGCTAGGATTATAGGCATATGCCACTATACCCGACTTCTTCCTTCCTCCTCTTTCTCAAAGAGGCTCTTGCTGGTAGCTCAGGATAGCCTCAAACTCATAATCTTTCTGTCTTACCTGGATGTGCACCCAAACACTGGCTATGTATAGGGTATAAAGATACCCAACGTGGCTCTGTCTTAAAAGCTACAGTCTGGCAGGGACCACAGAGTGCTAATAAGGAGCCCTGACTACACACAGTCCTGGTGCTGAGTGCCCAGCATGCCATTACGTATGTCACAACAGCCCCACTGCCATCCCATTTTACATATGAGAAAATGGAGGCACAGAGAGGCTGAGTGGTTCTCCCACAGTCTGACTGCAGGCGTGTGGCTCTGGGCTCTCCCACCTCCACTGCAGACAGACCCCAGAAGGAAGTTTACAGAGCATAGACTACATGGGGGTGAGGCTTTACAGATGAAGAGAGCCACCTGCTATTCAACAAATCAAACTACAGAATAAATGTGACATGGAGAAGAGACCCCCGGGCCTCCCCAGCATCTGCTCTGCTATCTCCCACCCTGCTGGCAGAGCTCCTCCAGTCTGTAACATCAGTGTCTTGTTCTATTCTATTGTTCAAGGCGCAGAGCACTGGGAGAAACCGACCTCAGCACTGTGGTGGGAATGGAGGTGAGGAGCCGAGGACTTGCCTCTCTGTGAAGTGGGTGCTTGGTTGGGGCTGCCTTGCTCAGCAGCCGTTGGACAGGAGGATGAGGGCAGCTGATTAGACTCACTAGAGTTGTCCAATAGTGCCACTTACTTGTGCAGATTTTGCATGAAACTTCAGGTTAGGTTTTGTGTTCCACAGTTTCAGGTATTTATAGTATGAAAAGAAGCTTAGAGAAACCAACCTCTTACATTTTAAGTTGCAAATGGTTCTGAGAAGCATGATGAAATCTTGCCCTACTCTCTCCAGCCTGGATACAAAGCTTCCCTCTGTCAGAGTGTCCACACTGCACATGCACCACCTCCTTAGTCCCTGAGAGATATTCCTTTATCCAGAGTGCCCACACTGCACATGCACCACCTCCTTAGTCACCAGGAGACATTCTTTTGTCCAGATGTACCCATACTGCAATGCACCCCCTCTTCAGTCACTACTGAAAAGCCACCTGGGTTATCAACCAACCTCGGCAGCATCAAAGCATTTTGTTCAAGCACCCCTTGATTTACCTGATTATGGCCCCAAAGTGCAAATTATGCTCCAAAAGCAGGGTGCTGGCAAATCTGATAAGCCAAAGAAAAGCTGTAAAGTGCTTAAGTGGGAAGATGAAAGTTCTTGACTTGATGAGGAAACACATAATTGTCTGTGGAGGCTGCTAAGATGCCTGTTAAGAACAAGTCTCCAACCACTGGAAGTGTGAAGAAGGAAAAAGAAAAACAAAATTCTAGGTTCACTCTCACACCTTCAAACTGCACACCCTATGACCACAACACATGCCATCTGCTTAGCGAATAAAGCACCCTGTTTGCGTGTTCACAGGCCTTATGCCTGTGGTTTCAGGTCTCCACTGGGAGTCTTGGAAGGTATTCCACACTTAGTGAAACTGGTGTAGTTGGAAAGAGAAACCAGTGGCATCAAACTGTGCTGTATGAGCTTTGTAATCCATCTTCTCTGACCGCACCCCTCCAGACCAGTGAGTACCGACTGTGCAGAATGCCCAGCGCTGAGGATCCAGAAGATAAAGCCCTAGCTCCCCCCTCCGGGCTCTAGTCATAGCTTTCACACTCTTTACAGTCAGAACTGAATGAAGGAACATGTTCAAGTCATGCTTGTGTAGAGGTGTGAGGCTAGGCTGGGCTGTCTTACCCAGCTAGACATAGTGAGTTTGGCCTAGTCTATTCCCCTATGTAGTCTATTCCCCTATTACAGTCATTCCAACTGTCTTGACCTGCTGATGCACAATGGGCTGTGTTGTGTATTTAGAAAAACACTTCTCTGAAACATATCAGACTGGAGGGAGACAACCAAGAGACATATAAAACAATTTATACATACAGCCACAGAGTATGCACAAAAGATACAGAACTGCAAGGGAGATATGTAGGGCTAGGACCACCCTTTTCCATATTCCTTCTGCTACACCCTATGTGAGACTTGTGCCATGCTTCCTGTGGTGTGACTGTGGGCCCTGTCTCTCCATGCATTTCTTGTCTCTATTCTCATCTTCCATTTTCTACATCGTGGGTAGACTGTCTTTGGTTACCCCTAGTCAGGGAAGTGTCCTTGAGTGCAGAGGGAGGCCTGACCAGGGACAGACCCGGGTCTCCTTTCCAGCTCCAGTTCATTTGCGAATGTTCTCGTTTGTACAACAGGAGCCATGCAGGGAAGGACTTCCCATGAATGACTTTATTTCATCAAGTTCTGCCTCCTTGTTTCTTTCTGGCTCAGCACTGCAAGTCCTGAGTGAGAAAGTAGGGAACACATTCCAGAGGCACAGAACAGGGCCGTGAGTGACCAGAGAGGAACAGTAACTGCCTGAGGTTCAGAATGAAGATGCAATGTGTAGGGTGGCACATCTGTCATGCCTGGGATTCATTCTTCCCATGAGCCCTGGGCTCAAGTCCCAGAAAAGCAGTCTGTGGAACGGCAGGTGCCCGAGTCCTGAGGGATCTCACTCACACCAGTGGCCCCGTGACCAATCCAGGCAGGGACTGGATTGTTCTGCTGTACTGACCCAGGAAAGGGAAGGCAGCTGAGTAACCCCAAAGAGAACTAGAATTAACAACATAGAATACTTACCTTCAGAGACTACGCCTGGCAGCACTAGGGGGCTGTGGAATGCTGTGGACAGGCAAGTGTTCCGGAGAGGGGGGAGGGGCTAGAGGACACACCCTGGAGTTGCCATTTACCATGTGCTCTTTGGAAATCACATGAGACAAGAGAGAATGAGATGAAATCCCAGATTTTGGGAAATTTGCATTCACTGCGTAGGCATGTGTGGCCTCAGTTTCTTCACTGGACAAAAGTGGGATAAGGATAGGACCTACCTGCTAAGGTTGCCATGAGGATGGACAGGAGGGTGGACAGACACACTCGGGCTCACTGGTCCACATGGACTGTCATTATAGCTGTGGGTGGGCACTGTTCGCACCATCTGTGAGTCTATCTGCATCCCACCTCCTTCCCTCTCAACAGGCATTGGGGTAGAATGGAAATCCTTCTGTCTAGTTTTGCTTCCTTCTCAACATGTTTCTTCGAGAAGTTATAGCAGCTGTGAGAACTAAATTCTTCTCCTTAATCTACACCCAGGAGCCTTCTCTCTGAGGTTAGCTGGCTGCTGAAGCCTTTCTTTGGAGCTCCAACAACAGGGCAGAGTACCCCACTTACCTTGCTGATGCATCAGGGTCCCAAACTCCCTAGGCAATGCCAGATAGGATGGTGGAATGGCTGAGCACAGGACAGGAGGGAGAACACTCCACAGAACTCACAGGGGCAACTCAAATGTGACAGCTCTTGATCCATGGGACAGTGACAGAAAATGCGCTTGGGGAATCAACTCACAACTAACATCAGGACACAGTTTGGATGTCCAAACTTGTAGAGGAAGCACTTAAGTGCAGAGGGTTAGAAACCATGCCTATACCAGAAGTTACTGCTGTTTTTAATTTTCCCTCCCTCCCTCCCTCCCTCCCTCCCTCCCTCCCTCCCTCCCTCCCTCCCTCCTTTTTTTACTTCTTTCCCTAAATTTTTTTTAAAGCAAATGGCCACCGGGAAGAGCTACTAAGGCCAGAGGAGCAGAGAATACCCCAACAACTCTGGTTTAGACCCAGCACAGGAGCTCTAGACACTTATAAGAAGTTGAGCTGTGTTGCTTTAGTATGGAAAAAGAAAATGAGCAACCAGGCATTGCATCAGAAGCCGCTGGGACTTGGGAGGAGCAGAACAAAGGGTGGAAGGCCACTCCAGCCAATTTACCGCTGGTTTCCAGTCCAATGGCTGGCTCCTGTCCTCTCTGGGTTTTGGAATGGGCCGGTTTTCCTGGAATATTCTTTTATTGAACTCCAAAAGGCTGGATTTTTTAATGCAGATTAATTCATGATTTCAAAGACTCTTTGAAGCTGGCAAAACATTCTGTTATTTCCAGGAGTTATTTATTACTGCTGAAATACGGGCATAGCCTGGGAGGTCAGTCTGCAATCTTGTTTAGATCCTTTTAAATTTAGAAACTTTACAGTGACTTAAAAATAGATCCCATTTGTGTACTTTTCCCGTCTTTCATCCCTACTCCAAGGGTTGCTCCGTCATTCTGACCCACCCCAGAGATGAGCCAGAGCGGTTCAAGGAGTCTGCTGGACCATAACAAATACCATCTCTAATGAGTCTGGGTTGATGTTAGTCATAGGTGCATGCAGAGTTGCTCATTATCCTGCAGAGTAAGTTCTAGAACTAAGAGCAAAGGATACCACTAAACCCAGTGAATGGTAGCACATGTGCTCATGTCGGTAACAAATAGATCATGAGGGTAAAAGCTGACCAGTGGTGCTCTTGAGGATAACATGGGTATATGTGTGGCTGAGGAGAGATGACAGGACTCAGGTTCAAAGAAGTTCATACTGTACACCACCAAATGGTCGATGAGGATTGTAGAAGGCCATTCTCTCCCTGGCACTGTATGCCTGCATTCCCATGCTCAGCAAAGGGGACATTGTGACACTGAGGATGTTCCCTTCATGGTTACTTACCTTCATGAACATGCTGAATCCAGTTTTAAGGAGATCAGTGAGGCCTGAGGATGTATGCTCAATGTCAACGGGATCTGGCCTCTCAGGACTGAATATTTCCTCCACAACCTGCTTCAACAGTGGTTTATAGGATGCCTGGAAAGACAGAACACTGTGCTGTGAGCAAAAGCCCTTGTTTGCTGTGCCTGGAGACAGTTTAATCTGCATCACAGGAAGTAAAGCAAGATTAGTTTGATACTAAGCAATGGCTGTAATTTTGTGTGTGAAAGGTTATAAAACCTTGAGTCTTTAAAAATATTTTAATAACTTTTGAGAATTTTATACAATGTATTTGGATCATATTTACTCCAACTCTACCTTTTATTTCTTCCAGATCTGTCCTCCTCTTTCTACCCTGTAACTTTTGTGTCTTTTTTTAATTATTAATTTAATACCATAGGGATTCCAACTTGTGTTCATGCAGTTCTCTAGTACTGCCATGCCTCTTTAGTCTCTTCTGTAACTAAATGTCCCTCAACAGAGCTAGTCATAGTAGGACCAAATGCTCAATCTAGATTTAAAGAGACAATTTTATGTAGGAAGTATGGTAGAAAGTCTTGTTGCTTGATATAAACATGAAGATGGTCTCTAAACATTCTTAGACTCATCTCCTCTGCTTGGAATGTGACTGTTTATTTGCAATGGCTGTCAACATCCAAGCTAACCCTCCCTCCCCCACAGCGCCCAACTCTGTGTAGAACTATGTCAGACAAAGGAGCTGAGATGACAGACAGATGGAATCTGACTGAAGTCGGGGTGGAACCGGGTCACAGAGCACCACAGGAATCTCTGTAGGACAAGGGCGATGCTAGATTGCAGCATCTCTGCTTTGAGGGATGGTACTGAGCACTTTCCTTTTCTGCAACCTAAATACCCTGCAGACCCATATTTAGTGCTGCCTGGAGGCAGCTGTCTCACTGACCTCTTTCCTGACTTGCTGGAAAGTTCTTCCCAAGGGAGTCTTCTTTTCTCACAGATCAAGCCCCCTTCCTCCAATCCCACTGCTGTCCCTGCTGTCCCATACTCATCTGGCAGCATATCTGGGGTGTTAGCACAAAGGCACAAGTGGTGTCTCCCCTCCCCACACTTTCTGATCCACACTCACTCCAGGAAGGCCAGCTTCTACAGGGCACTGATGAAGGCAGCCTGTCTTGAGCTCTGTGTAGCTCTTTACATGTGGCAAACACGAGGTGCCGTAACCATGGTTACAGATATGCAGCGTACTGCAGTGTCTCTAGTTTTTTCTTGCTTTTCTTATAGGAATGCTAAGTTATTTTTCCTATATTCTAAGTCTCCTAAAATATCTCAGAAATGAAGCAGTGTTAGACTAGCAACACCAAGTCTCGCCATACTTTTGGGAGGGCTAGTATTTACTCAGTGGAAGATCCCAGTGTTGTGATACTAACTAGTCAGTGGGACTACTGTACACTGAGAAATTCTGGGATTAACAATCATGTTGAGTGAGCACTTGGCAGAGATAAAGCTACTGGCTAACCTTGCTTATAACTAGAGGAAGTCAGATTAAAGTTATACCAAGACAGGTTTTCTTATAAAGGTTTATTTTATTTATGTGTACATGTATTCAGGGGGTCAGGGTGGGGGGTGTATGAGTCCTTGGAGTTACAGGCATTTGTGAGTCATCTGACCAACATAAATTCTGAAAGACTCAGATGGAAAAAAACCTAAAAGTAGGGTATCAGACATTCTCAGGCTGGTTGGAGAAGAAACTTTTTAAATCAACACAGCATGTAATTTGGTAGTACCTATCAAATCAAAACTACATCTGACACAGAAATCCACTCTTAGCAATTTATTTTTTGGCTATGTTAATGCATAGCAATGCATTCAGAAACTGCCATTTATTATTTGGAGTAAGGAAAGATTAGAAGTCACTGTCTTATGCACTGTTCGGTTGTTGTAAAGAGACACCAAGACCATGACAATGACTAAAAAAAAGGTATTTAATTGGGGCTGGCTTACAGGTTCAGAAGCTTAGTCCATTATCACGATGCGGGAAGCATGGCAGCTCATGGCCAGACATGGCAGCTGAGAGTTCTACATCCAGATCCACAAGCAGCAGGAAGAGAGACACACTGGTCCTCATGTGAACATTTGAAACCCCAAAGCCCACTTCCAGAGACACACTTCCACCAACAAAGCCACACCTCCTAATCCCTGTCATTAGGGAGTATAGTACTACTCCTTAATGGCCAAGCATTCAAATCTATGAGCCGTTGGTTCACCCCTATGGGGGCTGTTCCTATCCAAGCCACCACAGGCACTCAAGAGCCCGACAGCAGGGAGCTGTTTAATAAGTGAGGAATGTCTATAGGGAGGAGCACTGAGAACATGACAAGGGAGGGCCTGTGGTGACAGGGTTAAGGCCTGTGAATGGAAATGCCAAGTGATGAGCACATGTGTGACGGGACAGCAATTATACAAAGTGGCAGGGAGAGTGTGACCACTTGTAGCTGCTGAATATGGAAAAGAAAATGTTGTGATGGAAACATCTTCTTCCAGCAGTGATTGAAGGGTGGGTGCCAGGTACAGAGGGAGACTTTGTGTTGTGTGCTTTTTGTTTTTCTAAAGCAAACCATCAGTACAAACAGGCCCCTTTTTTCTTGTTAAAAGCTAATAGATTATTCATGCAGGGAACGAGATTGGGATGAGGCACACTAAAATGTTAATCCTGTGCTCAGGAAGTAGCAGGGATCTGTTTTCTTTCTACATTTTCTATATTTACTTATGGATCTGTATAATAATAATCCAATAAAAATTTTAAGTAAAACCCCAAACAAACAGGCCTTTGGTTCCATCAACCCTCCCCTCCTCAAGTGGACAATGTGGGGTGAGCTAGCCTGCCATGAGAGCCCTTATTCTCCCAGTCGCTCAACCTGTAAAGTCCCTCGCTCAGGACAGTCCTCGGGGAGTACTCGGCTACTACATCAGCGCTGTCATCCAAAAGCATGTGGCTTCTCCTTGGTAAGCCAATTGCTGTTTTCTTGCTGTGTCTGAAGGAAGAGCTGAGAAGGCACTCCTGGTTGGTGGCACTCCTGGTTGGTGAGGCCACTCTGCCTCCAGCTCAGGGGACCCAGGGTACCGTGGCAGGGAGGCCCGTGAGCAGGAGACGGTCAGAAACAGAGTCTACTGGAGGCACCCGGATGGCTGTCCCCTTTCCTTTTATTCCACCTGGGATCTTAGTCTGCAGGATTGTGCCACCCACATCCAGTGGGTCTTTTCTATTTCCTTCGCTAATTTTCCCCGGAAAAGTTCTCACAGACACACCCAGAGATGTGCCTCCCCAATGTCCCAAAGCCTACTAATCCAATCAAATTGTCTGTCATATTTTCTTCATCATTACAACAACAGACTCAGTTTTCAGTCAGGTACTTTATCAACTGACTAAAAAGCCATCCTCCAGCTTGCTCTATAGCTGGTGGTGTCTATATTTCCAGTTTCTGGGCAAAGAGCCAGAAGCAGAAGGATCCCGTGGGGCTTTCAGAAACAAGTCTTTTAAAATGGAAACATATCCCTGTCTTCCATTTCTCTGACCTGCTGCATGGAGCACAGGAATACTCCTAAGGCTGCACAGCAGAAACAAGAAAAACTGTGGTGATGACCTACCGGGCTGCTATAATCACGACAGAGTCTAGCAAGGACCACTTCATGTGAGAAATAAACCTCATATGTCTAAGAGACTAGTCTCCAGATCACTGTTACTTGCAACTGAATGAAATACTGATACAAAGTGTGACGGGAATAAAAGACAGAAAAGACAATTCCTTCCTTTGAAGAGCTAATAGCTGTTTGTTTGCTTGGTTTATATAAAGCTGGATATATAAAGCAACTTCAACCAGAACAACAGAGAAATACATACAGGCTACCGCATGAAGAGAGAGAAGCTGAGCTGTGGTGGTACACACTTTTAATCCCAGCAGTCAGCAGGCAAAGGCAGGTGGATCTCTGAGTTCAAGGTCTACAGAGTTCTAGGACAGCCAGGGATATATAGAGAAATTCTGTCTCAAAAAAACAACAGAGAGACAGCAGAGAGTGAGGAGAGAGAGAGAGAGAGAGAGAGAGAGAGAGAGAGAGAGAGAGAGAGAGAGAGAGAGAGAGAGAGAGAGAGAGAGAGAGAGAGAAGGGGGGTATACTCCATGACCTATACAAAATGAAGTAAGGTTGTTGCCATCCATGGGGTCTGCCTACTACAGAAGAAAGAACAGCGGTTGGGGGTAGAGTTCAGACCCTGACTCTGACCCCAAGCAGAAGCACTGCACTGGGTCCCTGTCTCCCAGGCAGGGCATGCTAGGGGAGATGGGCTGTTCTTAGTACTCTAAAGATGCTAGCATGGATGGGAGGGTAGTAGGAAGCATAGAAGGTTTAGGGAAAGCAAGGACACTTGTGGATGGATTGCCCTCCATCCCTTTTCACACCTTGGTCTCCTTTTTACTGGGAGACTAAGTGCTAGCTGTGCTTGCCAGCTGGGCTGGACTCCCTGGGAGCAGAGGTTTGAAGGCACTACCTTCATTCTTGAGTCTTTGTGATACCCATTTATTACTGGGGAAGGTCAAAATCTGTCTTATTTATTTAAGGTAATGAATGGGCAATTATTTAGAATGTGGAAATAAACCATAATTAAAAGTACAAGATAGCTAAGACATCACACAAATTCAGTAGAGCCACATATACACCTTTCTCTATAGTCTGACACACTCATGACATGAATCTCTTACAGTTTTTCTTTTTTGGCTGCAACTTCTCAATTCTATTCTCCTATGACAATGCTCTGGTCTCCATGTGTCTCTTTAGAGATGTGACAGTTACTGCGCTATGAGCCCTTCCTTCTATATGTAGTTGTGTAAGGCTGGCCTGTGACTGCCAGCCACACTTGTGCTTTGCCAGCTGAGTCTGACCCTGCTACAGGGTTGACAGAAGGTTCCCTGCTCCACCTTGGGGCTAATGCTAGTAGCTTTCATTCATCTTTAGGCTGACTTCCAGACTTTTGTTGTGGATCCAACAAATTACCTTTCCAGTATAAGCCATTTATAGTGCTCTTTTTTCCCATTTTTTCTTGCAGCCAAAGCATAGTAAATAAC